CAGTTTAAGGTAAGTGGAATGTCTAGTCATTCCTGAATTAGATGTATGTGATCAATATTATTTGAGGCATTGTAAAGAATGCTTGAGCCACATTTATATTGCCCGTGATGGTGCCCGTGAGACACCAGTGCTAGTGGTCTCCAGGGGGCAAGCATTCAGCCCTCGAACAGGGTAACGCTAGAGGCAATTAAATCCACTGCATCCTGTCCTAATTCACAGAGGAAAAACTGCTTAGTCTGAGCATGGCGACAGCATAAGGAGAAGGTTGCCATGGATTGATTTACAGACTCTGCACTTTCCTCATTGTGTCCCTGCTGAAAGCTCTCCCCTAATTCCTTGGCCATTCCTTGGAACTGAAAGAATAAGCAGGCTTTTGTTTACTCTCTACCCTCCAGCCAAAGCAGAGTCAAAACAACAACTCTTCTACCTTTAAGCTTGGGTTTATGTGATTTTGGTTATAAATGGTGTTGGATGTGGGCAAAATATGTCATGTGGCCTCCAGGGATCTCACAGTGTCATGTATGCTCCTAAATTCACCATGATGGTACAATTGCGCTAAAATTGCTACTTTTTGCGAAGGATGAGAAAAGTGGGTTGTATTTGTGAAATGCACTACTGTTCAAAAGTTTGGGGTCAGTAAGGTTTTTTTTTTAATGTTTTTGAAAGAAGCCTCTTATGCTCACCAAAAAGAAGCTAATATTATGAAATATTATTACAGTTTAAAATAACTGTTTTCTATTTTAATATATTTTCAAATGTAATTTATTTCTCTGATGGCAAAGCTGACTTTTCAGCAGCCATTACTCAAGTCTTCAGTGTCACATGATCCAGAAATCATTATAATATGCTGATTTGGTGCTTAAGAAACATTTCTTGTGATTATCAAATTTGAAAATAGTTGTGGTGCTTAAAGGGGTCATATGATGCGATTTCAAGTTTTCCTTTCTCTTTGAAGTGTTACAAGCTCTTGGTGCATAAAGAAGATCTGTAAAGTTGCAAAGACTAAAGTCTCAAATCCAAAGAGATATTCTTTATATGATGCACTGGGTCAGCTGGCCAATCAGAGCAGACTTCTTCTTCTGAAACCAAATTTTAAAATGTATCTTCTCCTAGACTTTTAAAGCTACAACCACAAACTCGGGTCAGACCTTCAGACTGGTCTGACTCGGGTTGCTATATATTTTCTAACTGATCCGGCTTACAGTTTTAATTAACCAGACTATCAAAACCACCTAAAATCCCATAGACTTTTATTGAGGGTGTGAAAACTTTTATACAATAAGAATTATGGTGTATTTAAGCTGTCTATTGCTATAGCAAAGCTTAACAACTCCCTACTGAAAAAACAGCTAAAACCAGCCTAAACTGATTGACTGCTTTGGCTTGTCTCCCAAGCTGGTTTTAAAGTGGTTTTGGCCATTTTTTTTTAGCAGGCCAGGTTGATCTTAGCTGTTTTTTAGCTGTTTTTTTTTTTACTGAATCAACTGGGTTTAGCTGGATTAGCATAGAAACATGCTAACAAAATGCTAGAAACAGGCCAACAAAATGCTAGTAACTTGCTAATCATGTTAACAACATGCTAGTAACATGCTATTCATGCTAGAAGCGTGCTAGCAACTTGTTAAACATGCTAGAAAAATGCTAGCATCATGCTAGAATCATGGTGGTAACATGCTAATCATGCTAGAATCATGCTAGCAACATGCTAGTAAACTTGCTAATCATGCTAACAAAATGTTAACACCATGCTAATAACATGCGAATCATGTTATCATCATGCTAGTAACATCCTAATCATGTTAACAACATGCTAGTAACTTGCTAATCATGCTAGAACCATGTTAGCAACTTGATAAACATGCTAGTAACATGTTAGAATCATGTTAGTAACAGGCTAATAATCCTAGGATCATGTTAACAACATGCTAATAACATGCTAATCATGTTAACAAAATGCTAATAACATGCTAACCATGCTTACAAAATGATAACACCAATGCCAAAATGTTAACACCATGCTAGTAACATGTTAATCATGCTAGAAACATGCTAGCAATTTTGTTAAATGTTAACAAATGCTACAAAACTTGTTAAATATGTTAGAAACATAGTAGCATAACGCTATTAAAATGCTAATCATGCTAGCAAACATGCTATTAACATGCTAATCATGTTAACATAATGCTAGTAACTTCCTAATCATGTTAACAACATGCTAGTAACTTGCTAATAATGCTAACAACATGCTAGAGACATGCTAGTAACTTGCTAATCATGATTACAAAATGTTAACACCATGCTAGTAACATGTTACACATGTTAGAAACATGCTAACAATTTGTTAAACATGCTAGAAACATGTTATCATCATGATAGTGACGTTAATCATACTAACAACATGCTAACAAAATGCTAGAAACTTGCTAATCATGCTAACAAAATGCTAGTAACGTGCTAATAATGCAAGAAAAATACTAACAAAATGTTAGTAACATGTTAATCGTGCTAGCAACATGCTAATAAACTGGCTAATAATGTTAACAAAATGTTAACACCATGCTAGCAAAACATGCTAATCATGCTAGAAACATGCTAACAACTTGTTAAACATGCTAACAAAATGCAAGCAACTTTTAAACATGTTAGAAACATGCTAGCATCATGTTAATCATGCTAGTAACATGCTAATCATGTTAACAACATGTTATTAACTTGCTAATCATGTTAACAACATGCTAGTAACTTGCTAATAATGCTAACAACATGCAAGTAACTTGCTGATCGTGCTAGAATCATGATAACAACATGCTAGTAACTTGCTAATCATGCTAGAATAATGCTAACAACATGCAAGTAAATTGCTAATCATGCTAGTAATATGCTAATCATGCTAGAATCATGCTAACAACATGCTATTAACTTGTCAATCATGCTAATAACATGCTTGTAACATTGCTAATCATGCTAGAATCATACTATCAACATGCTAGTAATGTTAATAATGCTAACAACATTCTAATCATTTTAGAAACATGCTAGTAATTTTGTTAAATGTTAACAAATGCTACAAAACTTGTTAAATATGTTAGAAACATAGTAGCATAACGCTATTAAAATGCTAATCATGCTAGCAAACATGCTATTAACATGCTAATCATGTTAACATAATGCTAGGGGATGTTAACATGTTAACATAATGCTAGGGGAAGTCGTGGCCTAATGGTTAGAGAGTCGGACTCATAACCCAAAAGGTTGTGGGTTCGAGTCTCGTACCAGCAGGGATTGTAGGTGGGGGGAGTGAATGTACAGCGCTCTCTCCCACCTTCAATACCACAACAAGGTGCCCTTGAGCAAGGCACCGAATCCCCAACTGCTCCCCGGGCGCCGCAGCATAAATGGCTGCCCACTGCTCCGGGTGTGTGTTCACGGTTTGTGTGTGTTCACTGCTGTGTGTGTGCACTTTGGATGGGTAAATGCAGAGCACTAATTCTGAGTATGGGTCACCATACTTGGCCACATGTCACTTCACTCACTTTTATCATGCTAGAATCATGCTAGTAATATGCTAATCATGTTAGAATCATGCTAGCGAAATGCTAGTAACTTTTTTATCATGATAACAGCATGCTTGTAACATGCTAATCATGCTAGAATCATGCGATCAACATGCTAGTAACATGCTAATCATGCTTACAACATTCTAATCATGTTAGTAACACGCTAGTAACTTGTTAACCATGTTAACAAAATCTAGTAACAAATGCTAATCATGCCAGAATCATGTTAGCAAACAGGTTATTAACTTACTAATAATGTTAACAACATGCTAGTGACATGATATTAATGCTAGAAACATGCTAGTAACTTGCTAATCATGCCAACAAAATGCTAACACCATGCTAGTAACATGCTAATCATGTTAGAAAAATGCTAGTAACTTGCTAATCATGTTAACAAAATGTTAACACCATGCTTTTAGCATGCTAATCATGCTAGCAAAATGTTTGTAGCTTGCTAATTTTGTTAACAATATGCTAATAACATGCTAATCATGCTAGAAACATGCTAGTAATATGCTAATTGTGCAAACAACATGCTAATCATGCTAGAAACAGCCTAGCAACCACCCCAGGTACCCTAGCAATATGTTTTATACCATCTGTTTTTCTGATAGACTGTATTGCCTTGAAAACATTCAAACTGTAATCTTTAAAACTATTTTAAGTTTCAAACTACTTCAAACTAAAAACATTCAGACTGCAAGCTTTTAAAACTTTTTCAAACTTTCTAGCTAGGCTTTTTCACTTTTCAATCTAGTTTGAAATATAATTTTATTTGTCATTTAAATGAATGCATGAAATTTGACATATCAATATATGGGAACTGAGTCTTCCTAAATGTGTATTTGTTCTGTAAAGCATATCCTGTGTTAACTGTTATATGATGACAGTCTCTCCTGTAGGCTGGCTTGTTGGCTCTTGTTTATGCAGAGGCCAGGTTTCCCGTAGCGACAAGCCCACAGAGTTATTTTTCCACAGCTTTAAGCTGAGACCGTCAACAGTTTCACACAGTGCTTTAATCTCCTGAAGGATGAAAGGCCCCTTGTGGAGGCCGCTGCCCTCGCCTTCTATCGCTCTCCCAGGCCCCTTCCTCCACAAGCCTTCCTGGACACATACATCCCTTTCTAACTGCTTCCATGGCCACTTTGGGCCTTGCCATGTCAACACGTAGGCCTCCTCTAATGGTCAGCAGCCAGGACCATGCAGGTCTCAATAGGAGAGAGGTGCTGAGCAGATTGTTTCATCCCTGGATCAATCTGCCTCTCGAGTTTCCATGTCCTGGAGATGAGCTATGAATAAACATTTCTCAGCATGGGTTATGAAATCTGTTCACACAAACTTTTCTCAACGTGGGCTTTTGTTAATAACTGTAAACTTGAAATATTAAGGCTGTTTTTTGCTAACCACCACCTCTTTTTCTTTCTCTGTTTCTCTTTTTAGGTCTCTATCCCCAACACCACTTGTGCCTGCATGAGAGCCGTTCTGGAGTTTCTCTACTGTGGTGTGTTAACACCATGTCCTGAACTGCAGCCAATGGACCTTATAATACTAGCCAACCGCCTCTGTCTTCCTCGCCTTGTAGCTCTAACAGGTAGGTTTAATAAAGGCTCTATGTTTACCTTGAAAAACTACTGTATACTTCTATGGTTAATCTACTACTTTGAGCATGAATTTGCAAAGACTTAATCTGCAAATATTTTGGATCTGTAAAGTTAACAGCTGCCATGGACAAAAATGTTGGTTAATATTACAAATGATAGTATTTAAACTCATCAAAGCTACTAGAGGTGGCACTAGCCAATAATTTGGAAAAATAAATTAACCAAATAAATATTATCTACATCTAAACTACAGCATGCTGTATTTGTTCAAATACACCAGTGAAGGTGTGACATTTTTCAATGTTGACGATTCTGTTGTTATGGAGTATTTTGCAAATCATTAACCATTAAGCTCCATGGCTGACATATTAACACTTGCTGTATGGTGTTTTGCCATGGTCTACAGAGCAACATGCTGTTGAGGAGCTATTGCAGTTGTCCGTTAAAGGGGTGGACATTGATGGACATGTGCTGGCCTATCTGGAGATGGCTCAGGTAACATTAATAAAGATGAAGCAAACAAAGCCTTTAATAGAATGCAGAGGACACTCACACTGAGTAATGAAGTAGCAATATAACCAATGGAGCACATTACAGAATTGCCATTCATTCATAGCCTACTTTATTCTAGTTCAAAGGATGAACGGACTTTGCTTTTCAAATGAGCCTCTTTGAGAGAAATCACTCTGTGCCAACTCTGCTTTCTGTCTGCTGTAGTTCCACAATGCCAAACAGCTCTCTGCTTGGTGTCTGCATCACATCTGCACCAACTACAATAGAGTTTGTCGAAAATTCCCTAAAGACATGAAGACTATGTCTCCTGGTAAGGGGCAAGAAGTGTTTTTATTAATTTATTTATTTGATTTATATTATGTATAAATAAAATTAATTCGGCAATTGATTCAATTGATCAGAAGTGACAGTAAAAACATAATGTTACAAAAGATTTTTATTTTAAATAAATGCTGTTCTTTTGAACTATCTATGGAGTCCTTGATAATAATTCAGTTGATAATGATGAAATTAATTACATTTGAAAATATATTAAAATAGAAAACTTTTATTTTAAAGTGTTTTGAAGCGAGAAAATTCCGGTGTATTTCCTTGATCTTGTCATTTGTTCTTCCAGAAAACCAGAAACATTTTGAGAAGCATCGCTGGCCCCCTGTGTGGTTCCTGAAGGAGGAAGACCGCTACCTCCGTTCTCAAAAAGAGCGAGAGCGCGAGGAGGAGATCTTACGCAAGCAGCACACCAAACGGGGCTGGTTTTTCTGGAGACACCCATCCTCCTCAGCACCCCACATTTCCTGAGGGTCTTCCTCCATTCATCCTTTCAACCCCCCCTTTACTCCTCACCCTCATCTCAGTCCAGAGGCATGTAGCCAAGCCTGGGGAGCCCTGTTTCTGTGCATATGTCCTGACTGCTGAAAGCGAGTCCGGGGTCCTCTTTGCCTCTGAGCTTTAGCCTTCCCTACCCACGCTGGGCCTTAGTGGACTGCCCGCCACGAGAGCTCATAGCGTATGTGTCATTAAACAGGAGAAGGTTTGGAGAAAGTCTCAAATCATTCTCTTTCTCAATGTTACATGTTCTACTGTGCGAATGCAACAAGTCTCGCCGCAGCATCACATAGGGAACAGCATCATTGCAGTGACCTGCTTTCGCCTCTTAAGACTGTTATTATTATACAAGACCACACACACACACACTCACACACTCACAACAGCACCCCGTCTGAGCGCTGGCGCCTGGGCACGAATGCTGCACGAGTGTTGATCTTTTCTCTGTGAGACCTATTTTTGGGAAAACCGTCATGATCAATGCCTACAAGCTGAAACATAGCTTTGAATACAACTAGCAACTAAAATGGCGGCAGGGATATACATATAAAATAAATTGTTAAAATAAAGGGGTTATTGCCCCTGCCTTCATGCTTCATAAAAACAATTCTCCATTTTGGATCTTCCATTGCCCCATATTGTCTCAGAATACCAATTGTGTTGCTTAAAGAAGAAGTGTTTTTCAAATTGCTTTTCCTGTTACAAAATTTTGTTCATGTGGTAGAACAGAAGGGGTGTGTAGTTCAGGTCTGTCACTCACTAAAAAAAACTCTAGGACAGCACCAAAGACAGACACTCAGACAGACAACTCATACAAACACAAACACCTTACCAAAATCTGCTGAAACAAAAACATGACAGCAAGTAAACTATGAAATTAGGGCTATTTTACCACTGCCAGGAGAGTATTAGCAATTACAGCTGTTATTTGACATTCTGTCGATTGAGTTTTGTGATTTGACCACTAGCAAGCTCCTCGACTTGCTTGCCTTTCACCTCCACCACTGGGGGGCGCCCATGCCTTCTGAATTTACCCTGCTTAAGTATTAGCTACTCATTTGTTTGTCAGTCCTGTTGCAGATCTTCACACCCTTGTGAAATGCACTTGTTTTTGTAGCACTACTTCAGCTCTTTGCTATTGGCGAACCAAAAAGTAGGTTGCGATGTTTCTTATTCCTTCGCCGCTCCTCTCTGTTATTCCTCTGCTCCTCTACCTCTGCAGTTAGCCAAACTGAGGGAGAAACTATCGATCCACTTCCTGTAGTGTTTGATATGTTGCAATGTGAGGCTTCTCTTTGCACTTTACACTTGCAGATAAAATCGGTGCTCCGGATTAACCTGCTAAATGTCACAGCGTTCAACCACTCACCCATCATCTCCTTAAAGGGCGGTTTCACTAGACTTTGAGCCCTGCAACAGTCGTGATACGATGTCATGCTCTGTGGTGTCATTTGTTTTTTAAAAACATAGTACAAAGTATTCACCATATAACAAATAATAATAAATCCAAAATGTAAAAATATACAATCTACTCTGCTCTCCTGCAATGCTGCGTGCGGACCAGCAAATTGAAAGTTTATGATTGTTTAATTCCGCTAAGATGACAAGCCATGACGCTTTGGAACGCAGCGAAATGTAAAACTTCCTTCGCACGAGCTTGCGTTTCCGGTTTCCAGCATTTGCATGCGTATGAATGGAAGTAAATGGAAAGAAAAGTGTAGTGTGACCGCCGCTTTACACAAGTTTACCTGTTTCGATCTTAATAACAAAATATCCCAACATAGGCTGTAAATCAAAAGTGTATCCTTCTATTTTAATTGAATAGCTTTCGATTTCAAGCTTTGTACTTTGAAACAGGTTTTGTGGTTAAACTGACAGTGATATGCTAACATACCCACTCTCAGTTCCTTCTTTCAGATGTGCATGCGCTGTAGAGTGTTGTTAACATTCGTTTGCTAGAGTCTTGTCCGGAAAACATGAGTGCCTATGACCATTGTTACACTTTCCCTTCTACATTCAAGTATTTCTCGGTGAAGCATGTTTGTTTTGCCTGTTGCGTGCCTTTTAACAAAAGTGTTTTTAATAGCTACTTTGGAGGTGAATGAGAACTCGGAGACATTTTAAGTTTTCCATGCCACCCTTTTTCTATTTCTGGCTTTCTGACTTCACTTCCTCAAGGCTGCACCCTGCTTTTCACACCAGACGAGCTGAAATCATCAACAGCTACAAAAATAGACATGCAGAGCCCATGTGCTCAGACAGGCCTTTCTGCACTCAAATAATAAATAAATGACAAATAAGAAGGAAGCGGAGAGCAGACACTTGTCTGTATGCTACCGTCTTGACATTCACCTGTAGAGGCACTTTTATATGTTCATCCCATTAAGATGCTTTATTTATAGGGGCAGACAAATAAATTAATGATTATAGATGCCACACTATGCCTAGAGGCTCAATAATTAGCAAAATAACGAATGTATGACCTTGCTGTGTATTTGCAGATTGGCTCTGTGATGAATTATGTACTTAATCACAGCTCTCCTGTCTGAGTTAAAGACCCTCACCCCAGATGAGCGATTCAAGTACACTACAAACATCAGCATGCTTGTTGGGATGGAAAGCGTTGTTGCTGTGGTGATTTCGGGCTTGTTAACACTTTTAGTTTTTTGACTATTTGCTTTTGCACTTTTATTTTAGATTTGGTCTGCCTTTGATGTGCATGGCACTGACTGTTTCTAAACTATGGCTTTTTAAAACATTTTGTAGCATGGAATGGTTTCTTCCATTAAAACGGTGCTCCTTATGGCCCTACATATTTTGTGCTTACATAAAAAAAAAATCCCTAATACTTACTATGAGACTTTTATGTTGGCTGCTCAAATTCTTTGTACCTTGTGCTTTAATCGAATATGCCTTCATTAACTTCAAGGACATGTGATCCATGTTTTTCTGTAGAAATTAGGTGGTTTTGTAGATTTCAAATAAACAGTATTAGAAAGGTCCATTAGCCCTTAAAAGGATCGTTCACCCCAAATGCAAATTCTGTCATTTGCTCACCCTCATGATGTTTGAAAGGTGTATGGATCTATTTCTTCTGCGGGACACAAAAGAAGTTATTTTGAAGAATGGTTCAGCTGTTTAGTCTATATAATTTTAAAGTCAATGGCATCCAACTCAACTTTATTGCATGGACAAAAACATTCTTCAGAATATCTTTTTTTATGTTCCACAGAAGTAAAAAAAAGGTCATACAAGTTTGAAATGACATGAGGGTGAGTAAATGATGACAATGTTCACGTTTGAATGAACGATTCATTTAAAGTGAGAGTGGTTCAGGCTGTGAATAACAACACGAAAGATCCCTGCTAACAGTATAACTGCTAGCTAAATATGCACTTTACCTTGAAATTTGATACAAATGATATTCTTTGTGGATTTTCTTTCAATTTAACAGTAGTCTTTAGCAACAAATTGGAAAGTATTTATCAGTGCACGTTTACAAGTAAGATGTGCATACACTCTAAAAAGTGCTGGGTTATTTCAACTCAACTTTGGGTCAAATATGGACTAACCCAACTGTTGGGTTAAATTTTTACATTAAATTTTTAACCCAAAAGTTGGGTTAGTCCAAATTTGACCCAAAGTTGGGTTGAAATAACCCAGCATTTTTTAGAGTGTGGAATGGTATGTAACTATGAATAACAGTAGCTTTCATTACTAAGGAATTATCATGCACTTTCGTCATGTTGAAAAAAAAAATCAGCCCTAATTACGAAGTTCAAAAAGTTCATTCAAAACCCTTACAGATACTTAATGTTGTTCTAAATGTTTATCATGTTCATTATAAATGACACATTGTGGTTGTAGTTCTATTTATTTAATAACAGTACAGCATTAGAAACCCACTATAAGAAATGTGAGAGCACTTGAGAATTGTGGTCTATTGCTGTGCCTTTAATTGGTGGGGTGGGGGGGGGGGTCTGACTGAAGAGAGGTTTCTGCCTTTAGTTTTAATCAAGGTAATTGTAGTGCACTAACAAACACACACTTCAGCTGACAGCCGGCAGACCACTGTATTGCTCCTTCTGCATGCCTTTGGCCAGCATGTAGCAATACCCTTTGGTTTTTGAGTGATGGGAAATATATTTTCATGCTTTTCCCTCTAACATTTTGGGTGTTTTCATTCCTCTTTGATTGTGCTGAGCTGAGTGGAAACCTGTGCTTGTTGTGAGCAGTGATAATACTTGTTGGGATGAGAGTGAATGTAAACACATGCACATTAACGGAGCGTCAGAGGCACACTTGCGCTCTCTACAGTCAACTGAAGGTCAGGGGTTTATTTTATTTTATTATTTAATTTTTTTACATGGCTAAGGGTAATATAAATTGGTGTTTGACAGGGGAAATGTTACACAACATTCTTTTTGGAATATGACTTTGGTTCAGTTATATTTTTGTAAAATACTAATACCAGAGAGCAGTTATTGCGGTGATTTTTTTAAAGGTTATTTTTTATTTTTATTTTTAAACTCTCAATATTTGTATTAAACTGGAAAGGTTTACCACATCTTACTGCTTGTAAAATTAACAATCTGACCTCAGGTCATAGGCAGAGACCACTTCAAGCCCTTGTTAGTTTCTGTGTTTCAGCAGAGGGGCTCTCCAACCAACTTCCTTTCTGAGCTTTGAAATCCACCTTCATCTACATGAAAGAAAAGGGCCGTATTATTTTTCTGAACAACATCTGTCAATTATAGTGGAGCACTTGTATGCCCTTTGGTAAACCCTGTCCCCCTTTCCACTTGTGAGGTGATCTGTTTAAATGGTCCTTGCCATTTTTTGTCTTCTTGAGGTGAGGTATAGGTGTCACTGACAGCCAACCCTTCCCTTGACCTCTTTTCCTCTTTCGAATTTATAACTACTTAAAGTTGTTTTTTTTTCTTAATTTGATTATTGTTTCTGATACTCGTTCTGTAATTATTTTTCTTGTTCTGAACTAGAAAAAGCACACACACACACACATTACTAAGGGCTTTCAAAATACAAAATAAGAATGTTTTGCTGCTCTTGCAAAATAAAAAAGTCTTATTGAATCATTTGTAATATTTTTGAACAACTGTGATTTGTACAAAATGGAGCAAAAAAAAAGTTTGGAAAAGGTTATCTGTTTCAGTATTTTAATGTTTGCTTAGCTTTTAATAAAACTTAACTGAACTCTTTGAACTCATTTCTTTGTGTTTTTTATTTGTTATGAAATGTTAACTATTAATCATATTCTTGTTATGCAGCTTTACCTGTATTGTCCAAAACAAATTTCCCGTAAAAGGACAAAGTAAAGTGGAAAGTGGAATCATAAAATGTTATTAAATTATGTAATAATCATTTAAAATGCATATAAAAGAGTATGACTTCTCAGTTACACCATAAAAATGATTTTTCAAAGTTGTATAAATAAAACAAAGATAGACTGTTTCTGAGCTTTATTGACATTTCACATGAAAATAATTTCAGTCTTTCTACTTCAAAATTTTATATTTAATTCAAGGTGTTACTTCTGTTTTATTGTAATGAACTGAACTGAATTTACAAGCAATTTCTTGTTTCTTGAAAACTGATTCAAAGTAAATCCTATACCATTTTTTTCAGTGTATCTTACACATAAATGGGAAATGTACGTAATTTTAAGTAAGATTTGTACAGGTGATCTAAAGCTTGTTTTATGGAAAGTCAGTACTGAAAATGTCCTGCAGAGGGAGACGTACACAAACTGTTTTAAGCATTTCCTATTGTTAAACTATAATAAATACATTTTTGCAATATATTATATCTTAATATTGCATTATAATCATGACCATTTTTCCAGGGATCTAGTTGAGCTGCTCAGGTATGTTGCAGAAGCACTACTTTTATCCAGCTGGCTCTTGCATTATGACTCTCCTTCACAAAGTAGCAGACAAAATGCTAAAATCATCACAAAGTGACTGACTTCCTTCCCCCAGTTCCTCAAGCACCACGAAAGAATCAGATCAAAATGTCAGAAATTATTTAATAAAACCAAAATCAGAAAGAGCTTTATTGCCAAGTATGTTTGAACATACAAGGAATTTGTTCTGGTGACAGAAGCTTCCATTACACAGAGACAACAACACAGAGATAATAAGAATATATATATACTGGTGAACTCCATGCCCAAGAGGGTTAAGGCAGTGCTGGAAAATAATGGTGGCCACAAAATATTGACACTTTGGGCCCAATTTGGACATTTTCACTTGGGGTGTACTCACTTTTTGTGGCCAGCGGTTTAGACATTAATGGCTGTGTGTTGAGTTATTTTGAGGGGACAGCAAATTTACACTGTTATACAAGCTGTACACTCACTACTTTACATTGTAGCAAAGTGTCATTTCTTCAGTGTTGTCACATGAAAAGATATAATAAAATATTTACAAAAATGTGAGGGGTGTACTCACTTCTGTCAGGGGCGTTTCCTCCGAAGAGGCAAGGGAGGCAGTGTCTCCTCTCCTCAAAAGTGGATGAGAAAATAATCGATATTACAAAAATAAAACAACGCAAATATGACTACATATGACATTAAAAGTCACTCATTTTTATAAAATAACACTGTCCAACAGCGACACCCGCAGGTAAAGTTAGAGCGGCGGCTTGCCTCCCTTCGGTCCATAGACTTTCTACAGACGCACCAGCCAGCCAGCTGCTCAACCTCGCTTCTAAATGCAGACTCATCATCGTCCTAGATGAGGCCGACAACTGTAGTGTCATCTGCAAACTTCAGGAGCTTGACAGAGGGGTCAACAGAGGTGCAGGGAGAAAAGAAGTGGGGAAAGAGCGCATTCCTGAGGGGCACCAGTGCTGATGGTGTGGCTGTTTGACATGAATTTCCCCAGTCTCTAGCTGTTGACTATCTGTCAGAAAGCTGGTGATCCACTGACAGATAGGAACAGAGAGCTGGGTTCACTTGGTCTGGAGGAGTGCTGGGATAATTGTATTGAAAGCCGAACTTAAAGGGATAGTTCACCCAAAAATGAAAATTCTGTCATTAATTACTCACCCTCATGTCGTTCCAAACCCGTAAGACCTCTGTTCATCTTCGGAACACAATTTAAGATATGTTTAATGGAATCTGACAGCTCTCTGACCCTCCCATAGACAGCAAGGGTACTACCTCGATCTTGCAGAAAAATAGCAAGGAGATCGGTAAAATTATCCATGTGACATCAGGGGTTCAACCGTAATATTACGAAGCTACGAGAATACTTTTTGTGCGCAAAAGAAAAAAAAACAACGACTTTATTCAACAATTCGCCTAGAACCTTTTAAGTCCACAAACATCTTCATCAGTTTGACAACACATGCGCTGCAAATACTCACAACACAACCAAATATAGAAACGCGCTACAAAGACTCACAACACGACGCGCTGCAAAGACTCACAACACGACCAAATACAGAAACGCACTGCAAAGACTCACAACACGACCAAATACAGATGCGCTGCAAAGACTCACAATACTACCAAATACAAAAACGCGCTGCAAAGACTCACAACACGACCAAATACAGAAACGCGCTGTAAAGACTCACAACACAACCAAATACAGAAACGCGCTGCTAATACTCACAACACGACCAAATACAGAAACACGCTGCTAATACTCACAACACGACCAAATACAGAAACGCGCTGCTAATACTCACAACACGACCAAATACAGAAACACGCTGCTAATACTCACAACACGACCAAATACAGAAACGCGGTGCTAATACTCACAACATGGCCAAATACAGAAACGCGCTGCTAATACTCACAACATGAACAAATACAGAAATGCGCTACAAAGACTCACAACACGACCAAATACAGAAACGCGCTGCAAAGATTCACAACACGGCCAAATACAGAAACGCCCTGCAAAGATTCACAACACGACCAAATACAGAAACGCGCTGCAAAGATTCACAACACGGCCAAATACAGAAACGCCCTGCAAAGATTCACAACACGACCAAATACAGAAACGCGCTGCAAAGACTCACAACACGGCCAAATACAGAAACGCGCTGCTAATACTCACAACATGAACAAATACAGAAATGCGCTACAAAGACTCACAACACGACCAAATACAGAAACGCGCTGCAAAGATT